ATGTCATGCAAATTACCCAATTATACTCTAGAAGTTACAGGATTCGTTTTGTGGTTCAGAGCCTTTAGACACAGGTGTGTGAATCCGAAGTAAAAACGACCCGGTTTTGTCAGGTCTCAGAGGATTTTGAATCCGAAATCTGAGGTGAATGCTTTACTTTCAAATGTAACAACATAACTTATTAGTCCCGTAAGTCACTACTAAGTTTAGTTTGTATCCTGCCACGTTATGCCCACCTGTGGCACGAGAGGTCAGTAGCCAGATCAGAAATTTTCAAGTAATAACAGTTCCGAGCATTTATCCAGAGCTTTCAATGACTTATAAATAAGCTCTTCTACTTCAAAATACTATTTTTGGTATCATGAGAACATCATGTTGAGGACTTAATCGCGAGAAATCAGAGAAATCCAACGATGAGAAACTGCGAAAAATGCTTTAATGTACAAGCATGTGATCATTTGATAATCATTTGATACTGGTCATTGTTGGCCGGTCATTGGCAGAGGGTATATTTGTTACGCTCTATCGTGTTACCCGTTTCAGAACGTCTCAGGCCCGTTTCAGATGACGAACTTTTCACGAGTCGAGTGAATAATTTGGACCGATCCAATTCAAATCGTGAACAACAGTGAGCTACATACAGTCGCAGTACAAAAAGTATTTCAGTGTCAATGACTATGTAACAATTCTAGAATGAGGCTAAGTATGAAGTGAACAATTATGCAGATCGAGGCGGAATGTTATTCACCGAGGCCGAAGGCCAAGGTCCGAGCGTCCGAGAGGCATTGCCCTCGATAAAATGTTTCCTCTACTAATGCCTGAGTATCGTGGGTACCCAGTATGAAACTGTGCATGCACTGTTAAACGTCACTTTTAAAGTGAGGGCAGCCGTGTGAGTAGAAAGCAATGGATTGCCACAGAACTAACAGAAAACGAGCACGCGTAAGAAGTGCCCGTGTTCAAGGTCTCGAATTTGCTCTAGGAAACCGGCACCATATATACTCAAAGTCTGGGGCGGATACTTGAAAAAAGGGCTTGCTCACATTAGTGCCCAGCGATTTCCGTCAATAACGGGCAACGAGCCCAGACAACAATGCCCTAAGTTCACTGTATTTCGCGCTTGTTCTGTTCTACAATATGGTTCAACTAAAATTCAACTTATTTAGTATCCAAATGAAACTGCGTTGGAAAAGGAAAAGCTTGATAAACTTGAGCCCTTCGGTTGAGAATGATGTTTAAGGCGATCAAGGCAACGATGGTTTTTAGTAAAGACGATCATTATAACCTTACTTAGTCGTTATCGGTACCTGTTCAGACACAGTGTGGGTGATCATGATGGCAAGTTAGACGGGAACTTTTAGGTACCAGTTTGTAATGTGCATAACTATCGCACCTCATCACCCACCCATCATGGGAATTCAGAGTCTGATGAGAACCAGTAATTTACTATTTAAATGTGCGATTAGAATCACTTGGTGACCAGCCTACGAATACAGCTGGCTCTCAGTCAAGCGCCACAACCGAGATGATGTGAACGAGCTGAGTGAGTTTTCATGCAGACATTCTTTTAGAGGCAGTGGACATACAACTTTCTTTGTGTATATATTCTCGCAAGGTCTTTTAGTTTGGGTCATTTATTTGGCTGTCTTGTCGTCGTATAATCATTTAAAAATTTTCCAACATTTTTAATTGGCGCTTTCTCGCCACTGATGTCGTTCGTCCAATAACTCTATCTGTTATTGGACAATTTGATGTGATTGTTCTGGATTTGATCAGCCAAAGCATGTTTTACCATAGCATAAATGGTTCTTCGAAGGCGCGCGTTCGGACTTCAACTTGAAAATTCTAGTTATTTTGACTAGTCTCAAGAGAGAATTCTTTCTCGCTAGTCTAAACAATTTTGATAGGCTAGTCAAAATAACCAAAGCAGTTATAATTAATAGTAAATACCCAGTCCTCCCCAGGTTTGGCTAACTGTATGTAATTGCTCGACAATAGACTGTTGGCTTAAAAATGGAAGTGTTTTATGCCGTGTTTAGACTTGAGCGTGCTACCGAGGTATTGGAGTTAACTTACCTAGGTAAATATTTTGCGTGTGTAAACGCCAACTGATACCCTGGTAAACACCGCTCAAGACAATAGAAAGTTAACTAAGGTAAAAGTTCGGTTTGCCCTGCGAAAAGGCATGGTTAAGGTCGGTAACCAAGGTTTGGATGACAGATACATCCGCTTGCGGTCGCATAGAATTTCAAATCCTGTGGTGTCGGGATTGCGTCAGGCTCATTCGATCACGTTTTCGAGACCAGGTTTTCGAGACTAGGTTTTCGACCAGGTTTCCACGTTTGGTTTCGGTCTACGAAGAAGTTATGGCAAAAACCAAAGACACAAAAGACACACCATTCTTCAACAAAATTTCCGTTTAATAGAGTTTCGAACCAGAATTGGTTTCTCGGCCACGACCACGCACGTCTAACGCGCCTTGTCTTGCGAAGGGCAATTTGTAGCAGAATTAATCGCTTTCGCCTCCACCTCTTTAGGTGCTGCAAAAGTAAGAGCTGCTGCAAACTCGATTCCTGGGTTTGCTGATCAAGAACAAGAAAATAAAACGCGAGGACTACAAGAGCCACAGCTTCTCTTTTAAACGCGAGCATTTATGTGTGGATTTAGAATTTGCCGCCAATTCGATTAGATTGTGATTGATGACAGACTTACCTTAGTTATTTGAGCCCGTATAAACACTGTACAAATGTACCAGGGTTTAGTCAGTTAATGTTTACCTTGGTAAACGCTTGAGTGTAAACACAGCATTAGACTACATACATTCGTAAATACGTCGATGTTTCAGTCAGTAGGCGGCAACACTCTAATGGATATTGTTTTCCAAACGGAGAATATGACTAGTTCATATTACCGGAATGCCCCAGCTGAACTCCAAAAATTGCTCATGAAAGATCTCTTTTAATAATTGCTGCAGCACGTAATTAAAGACCATTAAAGAAATAATAAGTTATGTTAAGGCTCACTGATATTTAAATCATTTTTGGGCACGCGAAAACAATCAGATCAGACTGAGTGCTTTCAAGCATGAATCGCGTGCATCACGAGTCAGTTAGGGATTTAAAACCTCAGACGGGGATCTAATTTGAGTACAACACAGTGGCCTAAACGTCATTTACGAAGATTGAGTGGACCAAATAAATTATTGAAGATAAAAGAACTTATGACGTAACAGTAAGGATGGAGTACTTGAAGAGCTTGCAATAGCGTTAACAATGGCATTACAGTATACAAACGTTAAAGTACAACAGAAACAATCAAAAAGCGTCAGAAAGAGTTTGAAACGTTTAACTCTGTAAAAACGGAACTCAAAATATAATCATTTTAGTTATAACCTACCATCACTGGACTCAACCGCTTTCTGTAAAGCACAAACGCAGAAGCATGTAATCTTATAGAAGTTGTATTATAAAAAAAAAAACAGCCTGTTATATTCTGCAGCAGAATTTGCATCGAGTAATTGCTTCTCGGTAACTGGGGTGTTCCCTTAAGCGAAATACTAGAGCCTTGACTTGTCGCAGTTAGAGCAAATCTGGACAAAAATTTGAAAGCTAAAGAAATTCTGACAGCCTGACACATTCCATTTTCAAGGGTATAGGCTTACACCGGGAAATAAAAAAATGAAAATCGTTGCGATGACATTCAAACGATGTTTTGTACGATATCAAAAAAAGAAATATCAGCAAATTAAAGTAACATTCAACCACTTACCCATCCTTTATGACTGATGTGAACGAGTGAGTGTTCATGTAGACATTCTTTTCGAGGCAGTGGGCATACAACTTTCTTTGTGTATAATTATATTATTGCAAGATCTTTTAGTTTGAGTGAGTTACGTTATTTGGCTGACATGTCCTCGTTAATCATAATAAATTTTTCCATTGAACATTTTTGGCGCTAATACTCAACAAAGAGAGCCCCGCTGATGTCGTTCGTCCAATAACTCTATCTGTTATTGGACAATTTGATGTGGTTGTTCTGGATTTGATCAGCCATAGCATGTTTCATATGTGTGTTTTTTATACAAGATGTTAATCCTAATCAGTATTTCATCGTTTCAGTCATTCAACCTCGTGTTTACCTTGAGGCTGAATTTAAAGCCCTCTTTTGGCTTTTCAGCTGGCTGAGTGATCCTTACACGTGACTGATATTGGACAATATGCCTACTTAATATCAATGAGTTTTGAACATCTTTTTAAGTAAGCCACAGGTTTTTTTAAGTGTTTGTTCGAGTTCTTTAGTGGTTCTTGCCGTTACGGTAGATGTTCAGGCAAATACAGCTCCTTTTTCCTCTTAACTTGTATTCCCATTTTCTTGTTAAGAATGTAGACGAGTAATTGTTGGGATCGAAATGTTTAATCGCGGCTTCCTGAAAGTCCCTTCAGGAGGAGGGAGGGAGAGGGAGAGTAAACAAGTCCAACTCGACGAAATCGACGCAGATTATCCTATTGTATGTTCCTCAGATCGAAGTAGTAGAGCGATAGATGTACGGAAGCGTGCAGAAAATCGAATCCTTAGCTCCCTTCCATTCCCTTCCAGCAGGTGATTCCTGTTGAATTCAACGTATAACAAGAAAAAAAAAGGATCACTGATTAACTCTGAAAGAAAAGCGCTCTAGAGGAAATCACATCGATGTGTCAAGTAAGTCAATAAGTCAATTAGTCGTAACAAAAGTTAATCTTAATTTTTTTAGCCTCAATTATTTATCATGTAGAGAATGTCAATATTGTTTTTCTCGAGTTTCTGCGGCTCGCCTTGATGCTAATGGCCCTATTTTTAATTAGCCTTTTTCAGTTTTTACCGCGAAAGGTCCAGCGTTGTAGACTTAAACAGAAGAAAACTTTTGAACTTTTAACTGTTATCCGTAGAAAAGCCAAAATACTAACCCGTTAAAGAGGGACAATGAGAATGAGTATAACAATAAGCTCATTCCCTCTTGCTATTAACAGTAAATGCCTATACCCCAGATACTCTCTTGTAACCAAATGCCCGAAGTGACGAAAAATGTCGGTCAAATTTGAAGCAAAGAGTTCACATATACTAGAATTGTGTTTATCACAAAACCTCGGGGGGCTTTTGTGGCTCAGTCAATTCCAAGCGTGCCCATTCCCCCTGGGAATTTGTCATCCTGTCGGTCCCGGAGGTGGGGAATTTGTCAGAAAACCTCTGCCGGGGAGTGGGGCACTTGCCAATTCTTCTAGAAGCGGTTAGCATCGTTCTTTTTTTCAATATTTCACTTTAAAATATGCCTATTCTGATAGCCATAGATATTTATATTCTTTATAAAATTTTATAAAGAATATTTTTAATACGTATGCTTTAAAAAGATAAGTGTGGTTTTGGCTTTTTCACCACCCTAATAAACCTCCCATATAATAACTAGAGAGGCACACTTGATCCATAGTTTATGATAAAAGAGATACACCCAACACCTTAGTTTTGCAATAAACAAATTTGGCTGCTCATTTTTGTGGACGTTCTAAATTGGTCAGATTACATTGTGTCCATTGTGGTTCAGTGTGTGGCCAATAGTCATTGAATAATGACGTAACCCACAATTGAAAACTTAGCTGGTGAACACCCCCGCTTCACAGTCGACTGCTCTCAACGAGGAAGTCAATATCAGGGCAAAACGAAGAGATTTAAACGTCGCTCTTCGGCATAGCGATGTGAGTTCCTTTCTTTCTTTTAACAAAATATTGAAGGATTGGTTAATCATCGTTCATTGCATAGTCATGCAGAGCTGAAACTGCAAAACAAGAAAAATTCCTTGGCACCCAAAGTAATCAAAACTCTTTTTCATCCGCCGTTCGGTATTCTTGTTCTTCATTTCAAATTCTGAAGGTGTGCAGGGAGCTGAAACAAGGCTGAGCTACTCACAAATAAGGCCGTAGAGCAACTTACATTTCAGCTTTTCTTATTGGAATAAGTGTAGTTCTGGAATAAAAACGGTCTCCAGTTAACACAATTCACGGCATCGATATTTGATCGTCGGCAGCAGACTCTTCACTCATTCTTAATCATAACAAGGAAACAGAGTCTTCAAGCAAGACACTGCAGACCCTCCAACATGGGTAAGTTCTTGATTGTGCTTTTGTTGAATATTGTCTGTGGTAGACCTTTTATATATTGTTTCAACGAACGCTTCGAAACACTTTTTTAGCTTCTTTCCCACTGTTTCCGGGTGACGTGAGCTACGGGATTGTGTTATTTACTATCATTACAGATTTTCAATCTTCTGAAACTTCCTGTTCCAGAGAAATGACATCGAATGACAATATTTCTTGTATAGTTAAGAGTTAGAGAGCTGAAGCATTGCAAAACCTTACCCGTTTGCTACGTTTCGATCATTGATTTATTACACAACTCGATTTCGTTGTCCGCAAATTACAAGCGAGCAATTAATCTAATAAAGTTTCGTTTATTTTCACTTCACTAACGTCCATATTTACAGCATATATATTGCACTTAAACCTCTTTTCCTAACGCTGGATTATCCCGCCTTGTCGATTATGTTACCATCATAAATGACGCACAAAAACGTGAAATGAAAGAAACTGGACTGTAATCCAGCTGCAAAAGGGAGTCAAGTGTATAACTGAAATACCGATTTATATCAATGACAGGAAAAATAAGATATTCTGATATTCACATTAATTAACTCGACAGGCCCAGGTGTTTTAATATACTCGCATATTAACAGCCCACAATTATATGATTGAACATAGTTGCTAAGCAAACTGCCGGGCGTCCACTTAATCAGTTACAGTTTTCGCGCGCAGGGAACAGAGGGAAATATTGAGGAAAACCCTGGACGAGTTAAAGGCCCCGTCCACACGGATCTGGATATTTTTGAATCCGCAACTTTTTCTTTCCGGATACGGCTTCCGTCCACACGTATTCGGTGAATCCGGCATACGAATCCTCAACGTTTTGAATCGGCTCTTAATTCGCAATCCGGAATCATCTGGACGCCAAATGCGGATATTTTTCATTATCCCGTGCGTAACAAGAGCAAACCCAGTTCTTTACCATGAATACTGTATTCAAGATGGCATGCTCTGTTGTCAATATTCCCAGAGGAGTCCTGGGTGCTAGCCGTGAATCCAGATACGTGTGAAATTCGAGTCGAATCCGGATACGTATGGGCGTGGAAATTGTTTAAACCGCAAAGAAAAATTTGCGGATTCTAAAATATCTGGTTACGTGTGGACGGGGCCTGAGTAGATTAATTAGAAAACATCTTCCTGGTCACGTGACACTGTCGAATTTCCAAATTCGGAAAAGAATGCGCAAAAAGCCCAAAACGGATTCACATTTTCTTTACTTTGATGTTCGCATATATTTTTAAAATTATTGATGTAAATAACAATTATTCACCGAAGTGGAGTTGGCTAGTCGTGCATATTTACCGAGCTACGAAGCACTACTAGCCACCGCCACTGAGGTGAATAATTATTTTAGTATATACCAAAACAGTGAGATAATTGAGCAGAGAAATGATGATTTTTAACTCAACTGTTGCCAACAATTACAATTTTGGCGCGTAATGACCGAACGGCCGCGAACGTCGCTTTTTCTTGCCGACAAATAAAACTTTTGAAGGCATTTGTTTAGCTCTTGCGGGGAAATTTCTTCAAAAGGAGTTGTGAATTCTTTTTGTATTTAAAATCATTCTATAAAAAAGATTATTTAATTTAGCTTAAAGCTTATTTATGAACAAGTCAACTAAATAAAGTAACGCAAGACATAAGCTTAATTTGCATTTGTGAACAAAACAGTTTTTCATCGGTTTTATCGATAAATTCGAGTCAAAAAGACAAAGATTTAACTGTTAAAACTTCCAAACCGAATTTCCTCACCATCTTCGTGTATTTCGGGAACAGCATGCTTGAGATAGTTGTGAAATTTCTTTGTTTGTTATGGCCGCAAACCGGGAAGGCATTTTTCTCGCAACTTACATGAGTTTGGCGTCGCTCGCTCGGAGGAATTGGAGGTGAATCAGTGAATAGTTACTATAAATTTATTGCAGATTATCCCGTCCAGAAGGGCCTGGATCCGTGTCATCAGTTGACAGAGAGTGATATACACGAAAGTCAGCTTGCGGAACAGATTGGCCTTAAATGGAAAGACCTTGCTAGAGAACTAGGTTTTCTTCAAAGCACCATTGATATGATCGAAAAGGAAAAATTGTACTGTAATAAGGAATGCTGCATAGAGCTTCTTGTACGGTGGAGGCGTCAGAACGGAACAGAAGCTACAGTTGGAAAATTAAAAAAAGCGTTGGAGAAGGTAGAACTCAAGAACGTGGCTGATAATCTGATCAGCGGTAAGCAAGAGATGTTTTTTATTCTTGAGTATAAGTTGTCAAATTAGATTCACAAATTCTGCTCTGATCTTTCTATTGGTGAGAAGAGCCTGGTTCTACATAAAATAACTGATTGAGTTGATCAGTGATCTATCAAATGTCGTGAGCTCTATCAAAGGATCGAAATAACTCAACTCTTCTCACTTACAATCTTCACTGAATCTTTTTACTTTGTTTGAGATATATCTTTGAGGCCAAATGTGATTTCATGTAATTCAGTATTCCGCAGAGGAAACGGCTGGATAATAGCGACGATCGAGTTTAGGTCATTCAATTTTGATTTGAGGCTTGAGCACAAAGCAGCTCGTATGCTCTGCTGTAGGATTCGTAATAACAGATATCCACGAATTATCATGTTTTTCAAAGGTAGCAACGTAATGAAGTGAACATGATCTTTGCAACCCAAACGAGCCTGTAAAACTTCAGGCTTTCCGGTCAAGCCCGAACTTTTAATTTTTCAGGCTCTTTTTCAATCGCTAATAGGTTGTTCATTCTACTGCGAGATCATGTTCACTTTCATATCTTTATCCGCAGTTCAACTGAATATGATTCATTTTTTTATATTTCAAAAAATGTAAGTGTTACTGACTCAGTGTCGTTCCTTTTCTTAGGACTCAGCTGCTGCCGATGCAATTGCATCAGCCAAAGATCAACTCGTTTGGAACCTGAAGTATCAAGCGAACCACACCAAGTAAGCTGGTAGACTTGCTGTTTTGAGGAATTAGGAAAAGTGTCTCGAATATTGATATGCAACCCAAGCAGTTAGAAAGGTTTTGACGACAAACTGTTGGTTTAAACCATATCATTTTTTCTTCACGAGATACATAGGCAGATGGTAAGAATGATTTACAGTCACACCTTTATAGTTAAAAACTTGTGATTCCCGCTTTTTCTTTCAGATGAAGAGATGTGATAGGATGATTTGTGAAATGAGTGACAAACTCAGAGCCATTTTAAAAGAGGTATACCAAGTTATATGCTATCAGCCGTGTTAAGGAATGCGAAAAGCTAATGACTTGCTGGCAAAAGGGTAACATGTTTCGCTTCTGTTACACAGTCAAGCAAATGCCATGATGAGATGATCTGTAAGGGGATATCTGAAATGAGCGACGAACTCCGAGTCACCTTTAGAGAAGAGGTATGAAATGTCACACTGAATAGTTATGTTAAGAATTCGTTTGCTAATGACCGGTCATGACAAGGAGACTAATTTTTTTTTCTCTCTCTATTTCAAAAATGGAAGCCCAAATTAAAAACTTAAAAATCAGCGCTTTTAAGGACGGTGCCCACTAATGGGAAGTATTTTTTCCCAGATAATGACTATGTGAGACAAGTAGATCATATCAGGGGCTATTGAAATCCAAAAAGAAAACTGGGGGTAACCACGTATTTTTCAGAGATAACTGCGCTTCAATATGGAGAAAAACGCTGAATAGGCGTTTTTTAGAAAAATAATAAAAAGTTATTTTTTCCCAAAATTTCATAGTGTACACATGAACTGGCACAAATGCAATGATAATTGTAACAATGTTTCAAAAAAAGCAACAAATGATAACAGAACAACTGCTCTTTATACGTCTTTTTTTGAAATAACAGCTCAGCTGGGAAGTTATCAGCAGTTACCCCTCTCCACGCTTTAGCCTAAAAAATAGTGTAAACGACATTTTCCCCGAACCAAAAATTGATCGTTTGCATATGTCATTGTTTGAATATGTTATTAAACTTCTGTAAACTTGCATACATTCAATGAGCTTATATCTGTGCTTTGCGCTATCTCTTTCGGGCTTTGCCACAAGTGTCATATGACATAAATGATTTGCATAGACTCAAGTTCCATACATGAGCTCTCTATTAAAAAGCTGAATAGTGTGAAAGTAGTTGTACCGAATGTGTTTATGTACCCTCATATATATGCACTGGTTATTATTATGATTATGTGTGGCGTGAAATTGAACCTGAAGAAATACTATCTACACGACAAGCTGTCAATGAGTCAATAATTTCAATGCTTAGTAATGCCAAAATGCTTAAATAATAACGATAGTAAAAAGCATTACAATTTTTTTACCATTTTTTCCACGATGAAAGCGTTTCCTTTGCGGTCTGCAACTATTTGTGAAGCTGCGATCTCAGCAATTCAAACAATCTTGTGATAGTTTTTTTCTTGTTTGTTCAACAAATAAAAGCCTCGGACTCTCAATAAAAGGGACATCTTTATGTACTCGAACGCTTTAAATCTATCTTCTGGTGAATAATTATGTAAAATCTTACAAAATTCGAGAAATATTCGGGAAAGTGTTTACAGCCGATTAGCCGATAAAACGCGAAGGACGCGAGTGAAAGGTAAGCTTGCAGTTTCGGAGGACTTAGAGCTATCCTCCCTCTGATTTACTGATCCTTGCCTATTAAGGGATTTTTTGATACCCAAGCTCTACGCGTAACATCTTGAAGCAGTAAACTTTTGATGTTTTAGAATTGACTTTTTAAATTTGTTTGACTATAAAATGTTTGGTCAGATCGATCGACGTAGAAATAGCAACATACGCATACTTCTTCGGTTTTCAAAGAACTGACAAGGTAAATAGAAATTATTTTTCACCTGTTGAAAACCGACGCATCTTTTCCACAAGAAATAACTACAACCTCCCAGTCTTAAATGAAAGGAACATGCGCCATGAAAGCAGAAAAGAAGTGAGTAAGCAACCAACAAACGGCTTTATAACTGTCATACGAGATGCGCCTTGGCCGTCCGAGGACATAAAAAGATGTCTTACTGTATTTGGTATGTAATATTTTCATAGATTTTGAGGGTTAACTCTTCGACCAAGGAGTTGGAGCAACAGCTTTCATATTACCAGCAAAAGTGCAAGGATACAGAACAACAGGTTAGAATACAGCAAAAACCCGCGTATGAGAAGTTTTTCAAGCTAGGCTAAGAAGGCTCTTATAATAGTGGAGCTAACTGGTTAATTAGGCTACTCAGGTTCTTATACAGGTTCTTATTTCAAAGAATAAATAAGGTGTTTGTCCTTGGTGGGTGTGGCCTATTTTGGGCCCTTTTGTGGCAGTGCGTGCATAATATGTTATAAAAATACCTTTAATCCAAGCATGTTAAAGCATTTTATGAAGTTTACACAAAGCTATGCAAGTTAAACAGAACAAAAGTACAAAGATACAACTCTCTCATTGTCAGGGTTTTATCTTCATTTTGCTAACTGCCGGTGAGCTTGTTCTATTAAGTTTGTGTATTCAATGTTTGACTGAATTTCTCAAAATAAGAACCTGTTTCAAAATTGTAGGCTTGACAGGTTCTTATGTAAAAGGGGTCTAAACAGACAAGCATAGCCTAACATCTAACTTAAAATCTGGGTTCTTATACACGGATTTTTGCTGTATTACATAGTCATTAACAAGTGAAAAAATACTAAAATAATGGAAAGGTACTCAGAACAGTTATAATGATTCGCTAATTCGTGACTTACTGACTGACATCCGGAGGAAAATCTCATGAATTCACCATCTGGTGCTCGTGTTTCTACTACTTCTTTGTCTTGCAGGTTTCGCAACTGAGGATTAGAATTGAGGAATTAGAAGAAGAGCTTTTAATTGCCAGGCAAAAGCGCCATGAGAACGACGAACAAAACGTGAGTCAACGTTTATTTTAACAAATGACGCGCACTTTTCATGTGCGACGCACTATGAAAACTGTCTTTTACTTCTTTCATTTGCTAGCCTGCGAATACAGCCGTTTCTTCTTGCTCCTCGCCACTACGGACGTTTCGCCAGGGGAAACGTCTGCGACTCAGCGACAGAAATTCCATACTGATGACGTAAAATCTGTTCGGAATCTGGCCGGGATCTCTGATTGGTCGACGTAGTACCTATATTGCTTCACCTATTGTTTACTAATGACAGTCAAAAGACAAAAGCCCACAAAGGTCAACTGAAAACGAGATAAATCTATTATTCCGAGAATATATTCTTCTTTAGAAAAAGCATCAGAGTTTTACCGGAGCTCGTTAGCAAAATATCACAAAACTTTACCATAATCAACCAGGAGAAATATAAATTTACATTTGGAACCCCATGACTACCGGATTCATTATGTAAACATTGATTTGCGTCATCAGTATGGAATTTCTGTCAGTGAGTCGCTGACGCTCCTCTCCCTATGCGCAGGCTATCCATTTGCGTGTCTACGCTCATTTTACATAAATCGAACCTAAAAAACAATAAAAGTACAAAACAACTGATCCTGAGCTCTGCGCGGAACTAAAACAGCAAAAACACTAAGGGGTTAACTATTAAAAAATATATATTGTTTATTTCCTACTTTTATTAACATAACTTGCAACTAATGAAAAAAGGAGATTTGTTGCCAGAAAAGTAGCAACAAATGGGGATGCCGAAGGAGTCGAGGACTGCAGTTTAAGCATTCGTTCCCAACCTTATGCTTCCACGGTTTGCTCCCAGAGATTTTTTTGTCTGGGAACTTAAACATTATCCTTAACAGTCTGGGCCGCATGGAGTCATATTAAATTGTGTAGGTTTGCGCGTAGGTGGAACTCGATCTAATGTTTAGTTGATAGTAAAAGAGGGAAGCTTATAGGAGAGAGTGAGATAAGGCCGAACATAACGCGTCGGAATCGAGGATTGCTAAATTGCGTGGGTCGTGGGTCGTGACTCACGGCCCACGACCCACGACCCACCCACCCACCCACGCCAATTAGTCAATCTCCATCACGTACGGGAAGAATTTCAGAAGCGGAATGGCAAAATCGGTAAACAAACTTAACTGGAAAAAACCAGTCTCGCTGGTTTAGTCTCGTGAACCTGTTTTTATGGTTTCCCATATTTTTCTTTTAGTTTGTGTAAACTGGTTTCAGCAAATCCCAAAGGATTGAAAAAGCTATACAATCATTGGACAGCACTTCTTTAATTCAATTAATAAATGCGATCCCAGGGGAAATACACATGCTCGCTCCTGGAAAGAAAGCTCCTAAAAGAAAGTAATATCATTTCTACGCAGACTTGCATAAATAGGCCATCAACCAATTATTCTTTAGTATTCCGGCTTAGTGGAATTCGTATGTATTCCTTCTTTTATCAATGTTTAGCATGATGATCTCCCGACGGATACAGACCAGTTAGGTAGAGAACATCACATTGATGATCGACTAAGAAAGATCAACGAACTGCTTCACACATATGTTACATCCCCTTTGCAAGTGCAAGAAGTTAAACAAGATCAACTAAGAACAGCAGTAAAACTTGATCTGCTGACAAGGCTGAGCGAGCGGTTGCAAGATTTATACACGGAGGCTTTAGGTATGGTTGCAGAGGCTTGTAAATGTAGCGAAGACTTAAGGAAAGACTTCTATGACCTGGCCTACCACGGGCTCAGGGCGGAACACTATGAGCTGGTCCACAGAGTCAAGGATCTGGAATCAGTCCAGGAGGAAATGAATGAAGAGGAAAAGAAAGAATGTGACAGGCTGCAATCATATCAGAGGGGCAGACAAAGCCAGGTCGAAAAATTGGACAAACTTTGGAGATATCTATTTTCCCCGGTATGCATTTATGTCAACTAAAGCGTTCCAAGTGAACGGTTTGACTTTAACTTTATTTTAGTCAGCATTTATACTGTTAGGTACTGTTAAAAAAAGAAAAGAACAGTACCGATCGCGATATGAGGGCACTTTAAATAATTTGACGTGATGGACGCTTTTTCTTTCTCTTCAAAAGGTAAGCAAATCTCGGAATAGAGGATGGGATTGAGTCGAGTGAGAATTTTAATAATCTTTTCATCTTCGACCTTTAAAATTCACACTATCAGGAACAAAAAGGGCTTGAAGTGTGTGTTATTTAAGAATTTATTCCTGCTTTGATGGATCGGAATTCCGCCTCGGAATCCGACTCCGGTGTTGTAAACTGGAGAATGCGGGAAAAGTTTCGAACAATATTCAATTGAAGGAAAATTGCATTAAAGCGCATAATTGCCGACTGTTTCCCAAGTTTTATTCCTTTTTCAGAACTGTAAAGAAGCTACCCCAGTCAAGAAGATTGGGACTGACATCGAATTTATGTGAATCACAATAAAATTTTGCAAACTTTGTCTTTGAAGTCCTCATTTGAGCGAATTTAACATTCGACTCAGGTTACGTTCACACAGTAATTTTATAATCAGTCTTAAATTCGTGCGTCTAAGTGTTCCGTTCATACGGAATCAAGCTAACCATACGTTAATTCGATAGGCCCTTATCGACTGTGCTAGCATAAGTATTGGCATAATTTGGAAAAACGAGCATAATTTTTGCACTTTTTCTAGAAGTAGCACCTCTAGCATAATCGGCATATTTTTAGTTTTTTTCAAGGGAACATTACCAGAGTCATGACTTGCTTGGTCTCTAAGATTGATTGTTTTCAAGTTCTGTCAATGGTTCAGTCTACTTTTATTCGTCTGGGGGAGGGGAAGAAGGTTACCGCAATACTGCGTCGTTGGTCGTCTAGAGGACTGGGCACACCGGAAGTAAAGATTACGTTGGTCCCAGTTCCCGCTTTCACACGTACCACGGGTGTCGAGCAACTTAGAAGGAGAACAGCTGCCTGATAGGCTAGAACCCGCTCAAATTGCTTGAGATCGGAGCCTGAAGAAAACCAACAGCAAATACAAGGCCGGGGGGGAGCATCTGCACGTGAGATAAGTCATGGTTCAGCCATCTTCTGCTGCTTCAGAGAGAGTTTTTAGCATATTGTCAGCCTCGTTGGATGAACAGCAGCAGAGTGCACTGTCAGACACTTACAAGCAAGTGTGATGCTGCAATATAACAAGCGCTAAGCTATATTAGAACACTTTAACTGTGATACTAACATCGTACATTTTGTCACATTAAGTCACCGCTTCTAGTCTGGAATGAAGTTCAGTAGTTGGTTGTGTTTTATCAGGGCAAGTGTGTAACTCAAGATAAAGAATATGATGCTTTATTAGCAATAAATATACAATTTGGGTTTTTGGACTCGTTTTAAGTTTTTTATTTTTAAGCATACATTAAGAAAAAGTAGCATAATTTTAAAAACGAGCATAATTTTGAGCATAATTTGGAAAAAAAAATCGTTCACTGCTGGTAGCATAATATGCTACTTTTACTAGCACAGTCGATAAGGGCCTATAATTTGACCGCCAAGCCGTTCAAAAATTGGAACCCTAAAATCTAAGTTACATTTTTAGCCGGTACGGCCGAAAATTTAGCCTACGCAATGTGAACACCGTCCATGACTGTCTACATTTTGTACGACAAATTTAGTTGGCGTGGTGTGATCATGAACGCCACAACCGTCTAAAAACGTTTCTGCTGGTCGAAAATTCAGTTTCCGTTGCCGTGTGAATGTAGCCTTTAGTGTTTTTTCTCCGATTTACTTTGCTAAAAACAACTCGCGTCTCGTCGTTTTGCGATTCATTTCAATCTCGGCGTCGGCGGGATACGGGATGAATCCGCCCGCGCCTCATGTTTTACAAGTTATATCTATCTCGGCAAAACTGGGATTGCATAGGAGTCTTAGCTGGATCGAATAATTAATAGCCTTGAAACAACGCTGACTAATCGTTTAACTTGCAGCCTGATCGCCGCCAGAAGACGGCAATGTCAGCGGATCCGGTGGGTCAAAACAAGCCAAGAGATAGTAAAAAGGTAGATAAAGATTATTTATAGTTAAATTGGAAAGAAATTTGGATTAGGTAGAAAAATAAAAAAATATATATATATATTTTTAATGATCAGTGTCCTTTGCGCTAATCCCTCATCTGCTGAATCCTCCCATGACCAGTTCATTAGCATTCAATTATTCATTCGTTCTTTCGTTCCTTCCTTCCTTCCTTCCTTCCTTCCTTCCTTCCTTCCTTCCTTCCTTCCTTCCTTCCTTCCTTCCTTCCTTCCTTCATCCATTCATTCATCTCCGCTTCCATTCATACATCTACTCATTCCTTCCTTCCCTCATTTTATGCATTTATTGGTAACCCGGCTCTCCATCAGCGTTTGCAAGTGTGATCACCCCGGGATGCTAAGTGAAGAAAAACAGAAGACACAGAAGGTTATAGTTGTTTTTTTCCTCGAGTCCCTGACATTGACAACGAATCTACACTTTACTAATTTCTGAAGAATGGTTTTTTATACGTTTGTTATAGGTCACGAGATACACTGACCCTGGTGATATATGGAGAAAACTTAAGCTGCGTGGAGAGGATACAGGATCTGCAGCGTCCTCAACTTCCAGCGATGGCAAACCAGACGAAGAGTCACGTTTGAATGTAAGCATTCCCTCATTTTTTTCATTTTTCTGTACCTCACTCCTTCCTCCGGTCCGTCTTGCGAGGTGCATTTGATCATATTTATCTGCTAGTTTGCGCCAAAATAGAAATAAATTATTATTTATTAGTAATGGTAATAGGACTGACTGGAGTACATTTTGTAACTAATTAACAATTAGTCTTAAAAGACTTCAGGAACTGTAATCACCGTTTTCTTTACACTCAAAGCTTGGTAAATCAATTGTATTTAACAAGCTGTCAAAGCCTAAAGATATATCAGATATATCTGAATAAAAGTCACTGGACCAGTTAGTTTCGTCCATTTTGCTTTTCTAGTTGAAGCTGGACAGCTTAGTTGTTCACTATTTTTCATTAATTTTGATTGGCTAGTGGCATCTGCTACTTGATTTTCATTGGCGATTTGACCTGTCCGATTACAAGCTCCTGATAATCAGGTCAAATCAGACAGTTTTCGAGTTACAATAGCAAAATTTAAGCTATAAATGTGGGGCTGTTAAGAACCAATCAGATTCAAGCATTTTGTTATTGACACTATTACTATTATTATCATTGGCAGATCCCGCCTATCTTTTATAATCTGTTTGGAGGCCATAGTTTCCTAAATCACGGTGCCTACTTTTGATGCTGCTCAATTTTTTTTTCCCATTATAGAGTTCTAATGACGGTGTTTTCTTATACTTGCATTTTACGGCTCCTTTATATATTGCTGCGCTTATAAGAAAAGGAACATCGATAATTAGTCAGCACCTTGTGTTCAACCCCATCGCCCAGAATGCCGCGACATATCTGGGAACATTGCAAGTGTCAGTCTACCAACTTAACACAGTTAGGCATGCGAGGCTTGCATGTCAAGGCCTTTTAATAATTGTATTAATTTATAATTAAAATTTTCAAAATCGTTAGGCTGACAGTTGCAATGTATCAACCAATTTCTTTCATCGGTCTCGTCAAGGGTCTTCATCGTTTGTCCTTTTCCCTCGCATGCCCCTCATACTCAAGTGCCACGATACTCTGTCGCATTGTTTTCCTCATGGGAAAACTATGGCCATGTTAAACAAGTTGTGAGTCATGATTTTACGAATTTAATTCCATCAGCTTTTGCCCTGCCTGCAAATGAAGTTCATGATCACTTTCTATTAGCACATCAGTTTGGACGCACAATACGTCATGTGAAGAGCTTTAAGATTAACGATGTTCAGTCACTGAACTTCGTCACTATGGTGGTTTCTTGGCTTACCTTCACCATTTGATGCTTATGCTTTGGTCTCCTGACTACGAGTGAAAGACCAGTTTATTGCTTATATGGGGGGAACTTTTCAGAATAATTATATTATGCCCGAATATTACTAAAAAGGTTTTTCACCTACTATGGTGAAAGATTCATTTCTTGTTATTTGTCTCAAATTTTACCCTCAGACTTTTGGAATTTTCCATACTAAGCCTATAATATTAATTTCTTGATATTATCTTTGGGTTCAAATACTGAGGCGGCGCAATTACTATCAGTTTTTTGTAAGCTTCAATTACCATGTTTAGATCATTTTTTCCTGCATAGTCGACTCAAGAACTGTGCAAAACAGCTGTAAGAAATCCCTTGACCTTGCACAAAACATTTCTCTCTAGTCTAATAGGAGACTAACGTTAACTGGATTCTATTATAAAAATTGACAAAATGTTTTATTTTTTTCAGCTGAGGAAAATGAAGTCAACGGTCGAATCAGTCATTCAAACCATTTCTAAAAAGAAGGAGGGTGGCGAGAAACAGATGCGGGATTGCTAATTATTATTTGTACCGAGTACTAATTTTCCCGTTTTTTAGATTCATTTTATGTAACCCCGGGGTTTTCTCCTGGAAATTCTTGGTGGGGGTGTGCCGACCCGTTCTCCAAATCCTGACCCTACTTCGGACCAAAAAGTGCCATTTTTCACACACGTTTTCAGGCCTGGCCTCTAAGAAATTGTCTTCATTACTTAGATTAGAACAGCAACCAAAAAAGATTTATTCAAATCCACTTCGAATTCGCATTTTTCTCTTTCTTTCTTATTCATTTGGAATTGAAACAATAAATACGTTCATACACTCCCGTGGTCTATAATTACCCGCTTTCAGACCAAAACGGTGCAAAAACCATACCCTCTGGGGTGGCAAATACCTGTATGGCTTATATAAGGGCGTACCCCCGGGTATTTTTTTACTCGGTACAACATGCCCATTAAGTTTTGTGGAGAGGCTTTTGTGTAACGTCAATTAGACGAGGTATCAAGAAGCTAGACGTCTCGTTCTCGATTTTAGTACCTGAAACTTGTGCAAAGTCGTTACCAAGTTTGACCCGCTTGCAGAGAACATTCTCTTTGTGTTACAGGCTCGAAATTGGGTTCTGTTCACGCAAAACGAAGGCAACTCGCTGTTAGATTAAACAAATAGACCCGATTCCAATGTATTATACTTCTTATTATTTAGCTATTTTATTCTCTGTCCCTGGTCACCGGAGGTTTAATTCTCTAAATCGGGTGAAATTCAAGCGCGGAATCCGCAATAACGAGGCCCGGCGGTTTATCTTTAGTGATTTTCAGAACAGACCTCTTCAGCTAGGGTGAGATACCTGCGTTTTTTCCTAATTATTTTTATACAAATATAGCATGGTCAAGCGGTCAGTCCGTACGGCCCTAGTCCCGCTCAGAACACTGGAGGTGTTCAAATTCCCGACCATGCTTGAAATAATTGTTCATGTTATTTGCTCAATTTTACTAGCCAGTGTCGGCCAGGGTTTTGGATATACGTTATCTTTCACCTGCAAACATATGATTTTGGGTAACGGTATGATAGGTTTCCTTTACGTTTGGACATATGCTGAGAAGAAAGGGTGAATTTCGGTTTAGTGACTAACTTATTTCGGGTACAATGGCATATTTAGTATCCCCACTGACCGAACCTGACTAGCTTTTTCAGTCATAAACACTGTGTAGGTTATTACTGTTATTATAGTTAGCTATCGCAAAAAAGGTAGAAAAATTAAGGAACAGAGAGGACGCACTTGTTAAAATGTTCAGTGTTCACTTTGAGAAAAAAGAGAAATGAGGTGCGTGTTAGTTAGTTAGTTAGTAGCATCGAAGAAGGCGATTATGCTAGCACGACTTGATCTCTCAAGTTTGAGTCTTAACTATATCGCCATTAACAAAGATTACAAAATACCGGAAAGTTACCACAGTTGATGAAGATGAAAATTTGTCATGATCAGTATTTTTAGGGCTTCTGTTGATAGCAGAGATATGCTTTACAATCTCTCTGGATCGACTATCCTGAGTAATAATACAGGCATATTTTTTATACTTGTCTTCTAAATAGAGTCTCTATATAGAATCAGAGTTTCCATAGCAACGTAATGACACCACTGCCTAGGTTGCCTTTGGTCGTTTTTTTTTTGGCACTGGAATGAATCGTTGCAATGGCCGCGTCGATTTTAGCTTGTGCCACAGACGGAACCAAACTTCTGTTTACGTCCGACGGCGAAACTGCGCCAAAAAATCCTTGTTCTATGGGCCCCCACCTGTGTACCAGGCTTTGAATACGTACCATGATCGGCCTGTTAGAATGCCATTGTTGATTTGCCAATCAGGTTAAAGGGAACATCGAAACGCATTCTCTCTGGTAATTTGTCGTCCTTTGGGGCCCAAAACAAAGATATCGGCGTTGCTTCGCAGACGTTACTAACCGGGGTTAGATTACTTCTGCGAAACAGGCTACGTACGTTGATGCTGAACAACTCTGATAACTGGCTAATATCTAAAATAGACTAGCGCATTGGAGGACCTTTTTCAACGTGTTTTGTTGCCTTAAAAGATATCAATGATCTTAAATACAGGGAAACAATGGGGAAGAGAGAAAATTAAAAAAAATCATATATATATATATATTTTTTTCTGGTTAGACTGTTCACAGTCCTCTATTTTTCCGTAAGATCATCGAGATCGAGAGCTTTGTGTTACTGGCTGCCATCTTGCATGAGTGTCAAAACTACTTAGGGGGCGGGGGCGGTTTGGGAGGAAATGTCCCCCCGCACCCAAAGCTATAATCCCCGACGCCCGCCCCTCGGTACATTTGAAAATCAAGATACCAGTACCGGTAAGACACGTTATATCTAAACGATCTCACGAAAAAAGAGGGGATTGTGAACAGTCTATTTTATGATCAAATAGAAGGTATTCTAATAGATATTAACTTTGTGGTTGTCATTTTTACTAAATTAAAACATTATAAAGAAGTCCACTATAAGGCGTTATTCAAAATTGGTTAAAACGTTTTATTAGTTTTATCCTCCCTTTTTATCCCTCTGGATCTGCATACCTGAGGTAATCTCGGCTGCGTGAGTTTATTTGGGCATAGCTTGTACTAGAAAGCGTACAGTAAAAGTTCGAGTAAACTTTACGTCTGGCCCCATTTGTTCACAAGGTGGATAACGCTATCCACTGGTGAGAATAAATCATTATCCAGTGGATAACGCAATTGATTTCAGTAATATTTATCCGATGGATAGCGCTAAAAGGTAAAAAAAAAAATGGTAAAAGTCCGTATTTTGCGTCAGTAACTCGTAACAGTACTTTAACTGACGATCCTGAAGCCAGCGGTGCGATAATTTCCTCCTTCCATCCGCACTCCGTTTTGCGTGTTAATTGAACTGTACGGAAAGGCAAGAAGTCGAAACAAGGATTTGAGGTCACACCTGGGGAATCGAACGCGGAACTTTCCGCAGAGAGAGCCGTACAGTAACCGACTGCGTTAATCCTTGCTTAACAATAGCAACCTTTATTCCAATCGATGAAAGCAACTCTCAGACCTCTTTAGGGTAACGCAGCACGTAAACAGGTATGAATCGTAACCATTTTCGGACGAGTGGGGTCATTTTTGTTCCACATGGAACTACATATCATACAGGTTATGCGTTTATCTCTGAACCGCGCATAACCTGTTCATCCCAAGACGGATAGATCTTTATACAAATGCAGTTACCTCATTTTGGAAATTCTCATAAATCCTGCCAGAGTTACATACAAAAACCTACAAACATTCTGGGAAAATCCACTGCCAATCGCTATTCACCAATTACTCCTTTCAAATTAAATTTTCCCTTTTCCTGGCCACGATTCCATACGAAGGAAAAAAAACTGCACAACAAAAGTAGAAAGGCAACGGAAACATCAGAGAACAAGAAATGGAATTTCCGGCGTTTGAATGGATATGAATTAGCCGGAAATGAAATATTTCTGCGGTATGGGAGCAGTAAGGACTGGGACGGTTCCAGTTGAAGTGCAGTATGGGTAGAATGGAGTGCTATTAAGGGGATGCCTATCACGTGAGAAAGCATTCTAGGCCGACACCTCGTCTAGCCCACGTTATTATTTATTTATTTATTTATTTATTTATTAAGTCAAGAGCCATAATAGGACAGGTCCTATTATGGCTCTTGCTACTAATTATTAGTAGCTGTTAAATATGTCAATTTATGACCCCTTTTCCTTTCAGGTATTGATGTTAATCGCTGGGCACCAATGTGAAAATGCCCTTTTTTTTCAAATATACACGCCAGACTTTGAGCATGGTGGTAATTAACCACTTAGTCAGGGAGCATATGTCGCTGAAAAAAGTTCCGTGGGATTTTTGTGATGATTTCAAGAGACCAGTGTAGAAGTGTTGAGGGGGACCTAATTAAGGAACATGTTTAATGTTGTCGGCGCTTCTGTAATTCGTGCAGGAGGTATTTAAGGGGCACCGGAAAATTGCCCATTGAGCTTTACATGAAAACGAGGCTAAATTTTGGACAAGCTTAAAACAACTGCCGTTCAGTCACTCTTTTTTCTGTAAATGTAAAAGTAATATTTCATAAGATATCTAGGAATGTTAAATTACCTTAAGTGCATTAGTAAAAGTTGAAAACCCGAATTTTTAGTTCAAATGAAGCTAGTTGCTTCAGATGAAAGAAAAATTCCTTGGAGTATCAATTTGGGAAAACAACTAATTTGTGCTGCAAGAAATGTGGACATAAACTAGAGTGCTTTTAGAATAAAATAAGGAATTCCATTTTCAAACTATGATAGTTGTATAGACTATTTTTTTGTTCTTCATTGCACGTGCTAATACGTATTCCAATTTTCTGGTTTGGTGTTGTGTGTTGGCGCATGAACATCTGGGATACATATTGCCGTTTTGTATTTTATCTAGTCTAAATGTCGAGTTCTACAGCTGGGACTGCATAGACCAAAGACCTCCCCTTACCAAACCATATGTATTTTGAAACTGATTTTAAAGTGTTTAAAATGTATTTTCAGTATTTGAATACTATTTTCCCGTATTTTAATCCTATTTGACAAAAAAATTTAAATTTTCGCCCCTGTTTGGAATATATCTTAAGTGTAGTTAAATTATATTTCATCAAAAGGAAAACCTCTCTCATCAATTTACAATGTATTTTGTTTAATAAATATGAATAAAATAGGGTATTTCAAATGTATTTTGGGCATAGAACCACTAACACTGTTACAAACAGAGTTCAAATAGACTATTTGAAATATGTTTTAGGGCTTAAATGCGACTGTTTTTTAAATACTTTTAAATAGGGTGCTTTAACACTGTTTTGAGTTGCATCTACAATGTATTTTGAGGCGCATCCACTCACAAAGTTACAAACATGATTCAAATAGACTATTTAAAATATGTTTTGAGAGCCTAAATGCTGACCGTATCTTAAATACTTTTAAATAGGGTACTTTAACACTGTTTTGAGTTGTATCGAAAATGTATTTTGAGACGCATCCACTCACAAAGTTACAAACAGAGTTCAAATAGACTATTTGAAATATGTTTTAAGTCCTTAACTACTGACCGCATTTCAAATACTTTTAAATAGGGTACTTAAACACTGTTTTGAGGTCTATTTGAATTGTATTTTGGGCACACAACACTCTGACTATAAAAACAGATTGTACATAAAATATTTAAAGTCTGCTGAAAGACATCAAATGCTGACCTTATTTTAAATACTTTAAAATAGGGTACTTATTACTTATTATTATTGAGGTGCAATATTGTAATGTATTTTGGGATACTTATACTCAGACTATAAAAGTAACAATTGCACAAAGTTAATTTTTAAGCCTTCATCGTGTCACGAACTCATAAATGACTCAAAACAAGCTGTCATATTGTGGACCGGATTCTTCTCTCAATAAAGCTCGAGGCGGAGCCAAAAATTAAATCTCCCAGCAAATCAAAAAGAAATTGAAAAAAGAGAAGAAAATTAGGAATAGATTTTAGCTTTGACTGACAACACGTAACTGTGACAGTGTGCCGATAAAGGATCAATCCGTTCCTCAATGTTCCTTACCTGCAAGCTCTCTGCGAAAATCTCCGCCTAGATTTTAGCCGTGATTCAATTAATGCAGCTACGGGACATTCCATAAGTTTTTTTAAAAGAAAATTCTTAACATCACATCTTAATTTTCATGTAGAAATTTTTCGCAAACAGCCGAAGCCGCGGGCCGAGAACCGGATGCACGCGGTCAATTGAGATTTGTCTAAAATAAGTCCTTGAAATTTCATAATAATTAAAACAAACTATCCAAGCTAAGATCTCACCTCGTATATATTGCACTAAGAAACAACGCTCAGATCTGAATAAACTCCGACATATGGTTATCTTTCTCTCATAGACTATTCCGCACATGCATGGCATATTATTTTTGAGATGTCACGCGCGACTGAAATCACGACTTCGCGCCGCGGTGATGTGACAAATGCACGTGATAAGCAAACCGTCCTTTGTCCTTTGCTCATTTCAAATTATTGAACCGGCGGTTGCTCCCGGGCGGTTGCTGTGAGCTTAAATGCGCTTGATTTTACTGTTTGTTACGATCTTACAAAAGTACACTCCAACTCTGCGGATTGTCGGAACACGTAGATGTTGCTTTTATCACGAATCAAAAATGGTTATGACTCCTCAGCGACTGTTATGTACTTTGAAAGGTTCTGGTTCAGGAGAAGAGTCCAACAGTCTAATTGTAAGTATTAAATATACAATGTTACTAAGACGCTTAGATATACGCCATATGAGAAACAAATGAAGGGTAGTAAACATTTATATAGTCGCGCCCGTACGGCAATTTTACTTTTACAGGATTCCTTGCAGAGACTCGCTGTTTTGTATAAATGATCTCAGTCACTTGATGTCACGTCACCGGCCTCTTTCATTCTCGCG